TGGTACTGTTAGCAACATGGTACTGTTAGCATCATGGTACTGTTAGCATCATGGTACTTTTAGCAACATGGTACTGTGAGCATCATGGTCTTGTTAGCAGAACGGCTCTTTTAGCAGCATTAGCACAGTTCCATTAGCAGCATGATGATAATGACCGCGGCGACGGACGATGACTGCCCTCAAGAACCGGGCCTGGCAGAAACGGAACATCCAAGGTTTCCCTGTAGAACCAAACTGTTCTGTAGACTAGGTGAAAGAGGAAAAGATAAAACTGAGAATAAAGTAAAATGTTGACTCGCCCACATATTTCCAAATATTCTGTTTATCTGTGTGCCATTAAACGAGGAAGGTAGCATCTCTTTCTTCAGGAAGTTCAAGTCAAGATGATAATATGGAGACATAACAAAACCATTTCCCCCATAAAAGTATTAAAAAGGAGATTTTACAAGGTATTACCACACAGCACGAATGTAAAATAAACAATCCAACTCTTTTGAAAACTGTGTAAAACTATTTCCTTCAGTTCATAAATCAATGGTTCTCATAAAACAATAATTTTTTGTGAACCTTTGAGCTTTTGGGTGGCTCAGGCTGGATAAGGGTGTCAAAGTTCATGCATCGTTCTAATTATGATTCCTGTAAGCCAGCAGAAGAATCCGGTTCTTTGGCTCTTGTCTCTGGTTTTCTCTCAAGCACATCTGTGGCACACGGACACCTGTCAGCAAACGCAGAGGACGGGTTAAAACAGAGGCACAGGTGAATTATTTTCATGTTTGAATTGTATTTCTGACATCAGTGGGGATTCCAAACACAAACGAGATATTCTTAATCTCAGTGGTGCATTCCTGTTCTCCCTCATCCTGTTTGCCCGTACGAGCTGATGCGGTGAGGGAAAATGAGCCTGGAGAGGCGTGTGACTTGGCCAGACACTTGTGCATTCCTTCAACATAGACATGAACTGCAAGCAGACGTAATGTGGCCGGAGAACTCGTGTAGCGCCTGTTTTACGCTGCTCTGAGCTCGTTTTTGAGCCTTTATTGCCGTAATTGGCGGTTATCTCTCACAATAAGAGTATTAGCTTCTAATCAGGGCCTGTTGGTAGCCAAGCAGCAGAATTAAGCTGTCAGTAGCTGCTTCTCACTCACGTTTGGAGCGTTTTTACTTGTTATAAACACAGATGTCCAGTTTAAATAAACATTAAACCAAAGTTTCTTGTTTCTTTAATCTTGTGTTTTTGTTTTTTTTATTGATTGACAGAGGAAGATTTCTACTAGCTTAAAATGATGCTTAAGGTATAGTAGTTCTAATATGATTTACTTTGAGTGATACTCTAATACATTTTTATGATTGTATTCAAACCAGTTTGGGATTCTGGCAGTTTTGTGGGGGCCAAAGAAATTAAAAAATGGGCAATCTTTGGCCCATGGGCCACTGGTCTAATTCATCAGATTAAAGCCCTAGGCTCAAGTTAGATACCCAACATCTTTTCTTGGTCGCAGGTTCCTCAACAAGAGTTTGATTGGTCTCATTTGACGTTCTCTGTTGCACTTTTCAAAGTCAAAGTCACTTTATTGTCAAAAACTGCAAAATGTACAGGACATACACAGGATTGAAATTACATTACTCTCAGACCCCAGTGCAACAATAACCATTTAACATTAAAACATTTAATAAACATAAGCATAAATGTGGTGTTTTGACATCATAATCAAATATTACTGAAAAAAATAAAGTGATAAAAGTATTTTACATTTAAAATAACATCTTGGGGGACAGATAAGATGTTAAGGAGGGCCACATTTGGTCCCCGGGCTTTGAGTTTGACACATATGAGTTAATGTAGATTCTGAAACCGGTCCTTAGTTTGAAAAAGGGTTTCATTTTGTCCCTCTTTTGTAGGTGAGTTTGACACCCCTGCCCTAGCTGAACCTTTACATCAGTGGACTTTAGACGACCAATCAAAGCAGCATCTTTTGCTGAACTTTTTATTTTTTATCACTATACAGTAATCAGAAATCTGGAGTGTCTCCATTCAAATTAAGGTTGCATTAATCCTTATCAAAAGCTTGATAAAGGCTTCCCAAAACTTGGCAATATGCAAGAATGTTGTTCATCAGTTGCAGTTCAGCATCTAACATGATCCTCCCTGGAACACCGGAGCTGGACGTCCTCGGTTTCCCTCCATCCCATTGCACCTAGATAAGAGACTTCCTCACAAACCGTCCACAAACAGTTGAAATTGGCCCCCACAATCTTATGGTGAGAGAGTGAATGGTTGTTTATCTTGTTTGTCTCTGTGTCCCTATGATGGACTTGCGACCTGTCCAGGGTGTCCCCCGCCTCTCGCACAGTGATGGCTGGACATGGGCATCCGTGACCCCTGCAACCCGAAAAGGAAGAAGCGAGTATAGATGATGGATGGATGGATGGATGGATGGATGGATGGATGGATGGATGGATGGAACTCTCCCTCTGTCACACTCGGCACTGGCTCCCCACAGGGCTGTGAGCGGAGCCCTCTCCTCTGTATTCCCATCCACCCCTTCAACCCTGTTATCAAACCTGCAGACAGCCCCACAGCCATCGGGCTCATTACTGGAGGAGATGAGTCTGAGGACAGAGATAAGGTCGGAGAACTGATTAAATGGTGTGAGAAGAACAATTTGTCAGTGAATGTGAGCAAAACAAAAGAGATGTTGTTGGGTTTCAGGAGACACAGAGCAGATCCTGCTCCACTTAATGGTGGAAAGAGTTCCCACATGTCTTGGGAACTACCGTTGCCCAAAACCAATCGTGGACCGCTAACACCACAGCTGTGCTTAAAACGTCCCAGCAGTGACTGTGCTTTTTAAAACTGCTCCACAAGAACAACATAAAGATGTCTGCTGGTGACTTTTTGTCATTCCAACATGTACGACGTCATGGCGGGCAGACTGCTCTGCTGCTGACTGAAGGGCCTGCAGGGAAACGATTGGCTGTTCCCTGCAGGATAACCTGCTTCAGGCGTCTCAGAGAGGCCAGGGACATCACAAACAACAGAACACATCCTGCTCACGGTCTGTTTGCTCTCCTGCCTTCTGGGAGGCGCTACAGGAGCCTGCAAAGTAGGACAGGTAGGGTCAAAAGTTTATTCCCATCAGCCATCAGAAAATGCAAACTCTGACAGAAAAATATCTACATCCTTCAATGCATCTTTATTCAGTTTCTCTATTTTTAATGTACATTTGTGTCTGAACGATGACTTTTTAAGCTTTTGTATCATTTCAGGTGTTTTGCGTGCGGTGATGTGCATGATGTGTGTTGTGTGACTCAGTTCGATGCACTTGTTTTCTGTTTTCTCTGCAACAACTTGTAATTAGCTTGTGCTGCAACGTGGAATGACAAATGACGTATTCTGATTCTGAGATAGGGAACTGTACTGAGGAAAACATGGATTTGTTTGGGCAGATTCAAAACCCTTAAATATTGCAGGAAATTAATTTAATACTAGGATTTATTTTTATTTATTCCTTGGGGAAAAACATCATCCATGGGAATAAATAATGGCAGGTTTCATGTTTGTCTTGAACAGGCTGCAGTTATATATATATATATATATATATATATATATATATATATATATATATACCTCTCAGTGAAACCCAACGTGTTAAAAAATAAAGATGAGTACAAAGTATCATGAAGAAACTCTGCACTGAACTTCCTGATAAGAGTGAAATTATGGCTGGCTGTAAATTTACGTTCACTCTATTCATTTCAACACCAGCTGTTAAGACATTTTTTAATTTATTAATACAGTCATATGAGCACAATATATCATAATACATGTTGTATTTTGAACTTATTATTATTAAAGTTCACATTAGTAATAAAAAATTATATAAAATCCCCCATTTTAAAAAATAAATATAAGTGGAAACCTGCAGGCATAAACTAATAACTTTCAGTCAGGTCATCTGGACAGTTTCTTTTTTTTTTTCCTGAAACGTTTCACCTTCCATCCAGAAGGCTTCATCAGGGCTGGCAGCGGAGGAGGGGGTGTGCCAAAGGCAACATCTTAGCACCAACATAACTGGTTTGTTCCACTTTGGAGTAAGCTGTTGGGGCGAAGAATCAGTTTTGTGTTGTGTGTTTCCTTGACTGATGAAGCCTTCTGGATGGAAGGTGAAAGGTTTCATTAAAAAAAAAAAAAAAAACTGTCCACATGCCCTGACTGAAAATTGTTGGATTGTATACCTGGATTATTGAGCATGGACGTTTTTTGGCTACAGGCATCAAGGGTTTGTATAATCTGAGGGGAGACATAGACCAGTGATAAATAAAATAAAATAATAAATCACTAAATGTGAGTTTTTATGTTTGGCAGTGAGCATTGAACGACTGAAGAGGTATTCAGTCAGGTCATCTGGACATCTAATTGTTGGATTGTATACATGGATTATTGAGCATGGACTTTGCTGGTTTTGAACCAGTTTGACATGACTGTCGATGAGGAAGAGGGTCGAGAGGATGGGGTGTGCCAAAGACCCCATCTTAGCAGCAACATAACTGGTTTGTGGAGTAAGCTGTTGGGGGAAGAATCAGTTTTGTGTTGTGTGTTTCCTTGACTGATGAAGCCTTCCGGATGGAAGGTGAAACATTTCAGCAAAAAAAATAAACTGTCCAGATGACCTGACTGAAAAATGTTGGAGGTATCATACTCTATTTTTATAGTTTATTAAAATGTTCAGTCTTCGTTTTGTTTGGTTTAAAGCTCCACAGACCGGTTCTATAACTCTATTGATGACCCAGAGGTTTATTTAATTCAGATCCTCCATCCCGGATCAAACACCTGACAGGAGGAGCAGGAGCTCCCTGAGCTGGACGGTGGGAGGTGTCCTGAGGAGGTGGAGCAGCCGCCTCTGCAGGAAACACCGTTTAAATGAGCGGAGGAGGGAGGTGGAGGCGAGGGAGAGTGCGCGCTCCAGACGGATTTAACACAGAGTGAAGCATCACTGCAGCTCCACAGAAACCTGAAGCCGTTTTCTCTCAGAAGCTCCTCCAGCAGCCAGGAGACAAGTCCGAATCATGTGTGGTAAGATCTTTTGGTTTTTGTTTGTCATCACGCATGTTGGAAGATTTTGGCGAGGTCGCGCGCTGTGCTGTGGATGGATGGTGCGGTTTGCGCCACGGTGCGCACGAGATTTAGGTGAAAAGAAGAGTAAGTGGTAAAATCAGGCTGTTGAGTCTTCTGGGGTTACTTTGATGCGTTTTACAGGCGCATTAAAAGCGAGAAACTTGGCTTTGATTTCAAGTTAGTGTAGACTGCTGATGAGCTTTACGCGCGGCGGCGACGTGTCAGCGATTACACGCGAGTTAACTTCAGGACAAGGAAGTTCTGTGTGCCAGGTTGTGTTTAAAGGGCCGCTTATCATCTCCCTGATTGTGATGCGCAGTAACTGCTCTCTCTGAGTAATTCTTTAACCCTCCACCAGCCTCTCCTTTGCGGGAGAGACGCTGAGTTTTTATTTTATTTTTAATTTTAGATAACCGCGCCTTGAACATACCAACCTCTGTTCTGCAACACTGTGCGCAATGTGCGCCCATCAATGGCCAGCTGTGTGCCTGCGGGAGCACGCACACGCACGCACACAGTGACACGTTCCTGACACTTCTAGGAAAACACACTATTGACTTCCACTCCCTGCGAGCAAAATCCTACATTAAAAACCGGTTTGGCCACATTTTTACTACTTAAAAAAGGAAGTGAGAACTGGGATTATTATCATCAGATGCTTTCTCAGATGACTTTTTGCTCCAGTTTATCAAATATTTCACTAACTTTTATTGAATGGTAAGAAAGTGGAAAGAAGCCTACGTGATCTGCAGCTGCTTCACTTCTCAGAGAATTTGAGGTTCTGCTTCAGCCTCCTCTCTCTCTCTCTCTCTGTCTAAAGGAATCTTTGCTTACCTGAACTACCGAGTTCCTCGCACCAGGAAGGAGATATTTGAGACGCTGGTGAAGGGGCTGCAGAGGCTGGAGTACAGAGGCTACGATTCAGCAGGTGAGACGCAGCTTCACAGAACTGGACCGCACACCCACATGTCCAACTGAAGGCCCATGGGCCAGACACGACCCTTGTTACAACATTACATGGCCCACAAGATAATATCTTAAAGGTGCTCATTGCAAAGCCATCAAGATCAGATGTAATAATAATAATAATAATAATAATAATAATAATAATAATAATAAAGTAGGTCTGGATGATATGGCCAAAACTTTTATCACGATATTTTTCTTAATTTCGGTCGATAACGATATAATTTGATATCGATATAAACAATATAAAAGCCTCAGAAAAACTACACAAATAAATTAATGTTCACCTTTTTATTTGTACTTAGCCTTCAAAAAATTTGAAATCACCGTCAAATAAACGTAAAACTCTCAACGTTGTCAGTATTAATAGTTTTAACTTTAAACAACAACGTAACCTAACCCATGTAGTAAACAGATGTTTCTCTTTGGATGCAGCTGGGGGTGTTTCAGGGACACGTTGGCTCAAACGTTATTGTTTCATCATCTGATTCTCAGCATGTTCTGTCTGGAACAAGTTAGATGTGTTCCCACCGTCACATTTTGCAGCACATTGAAACCTGCAGTATATCGGATCTTAGCCGAACCACTTCCACACCGTCGAATTGGTTTTTCCTCTCATCAGTTGTGTCATCGGCTTTCTCTTCGCTTGTGAAACCTTGTTCAGTCACAGTCTGACGGTCATGGGCACTCATTTCGAAGCGAAACCTTAACACACGTTGGAGCTTAGCCTAGCCTGCTACCGCTAACTCCTTCGAGCTGTGGTGTACGTCGCCACACACTTACATAGTTGTGTCGCGGCTTTTTCTGTTCGGGTTGAAACTGAAGCGGCTGCTTCAACCCGAACAGAAAAAGAAATGTGTCAGAGAAACGCTGTAATCATATCGAAAATGTGCTTAAAACTCATATCGCCGTTATTTAATAAAAGTATATTGTGATATATATCGATATCGAATTATTGTGTAGCCCTATGATAAAGTAAGAAACATATTGATAGTTAATATGTCCCTATTAAATGTTTGTTAGCAAAATTTGTGACTGGCTGCTAATTACCAGACAAGTTAGTTTACTTATAGGGCTATCCAACTAAATTATTCAGGGGCCACAGTTACAGAAAGCCAAGAACCCTGAGGCCGGACATCCAGCAGTTATTACCATTAAGTAAGTTTGTTTTATGGTTTAAAATCTATTTTATTTAAAAATGAACCCATTGGTGGGCCGAACTGAGTTCATCCGAGGGCCTGATTTGGCCCCTGAACCTCCAGTTGAGTACCCCATACGGTTCAGCCAAAGTGACTGAGTACTCAAACTTATCGGCCATGTTTGTTACTGATTACAGCCATCCTAAAGATGTTCAGTCTTGTGGCTCCAGTTGGATTTTATCTGAGTGCTTTGTTTACATTGAGCGCATACCCACATTTCAGAGTTGATTTCAATATAATTAGAAAACTACAGAAGTAAACTTTTTCAAACTGCACCATTTGATAAAATCCAGGAATTTTTATTATTTATTTTTTATTGCTGTTATAGTTTGCAATGAGTACCTTTTTAAAATAATTAGAACTGACCCCACCAGTCTTTGACAAATCACGTTTCGGTCATTTTGCTTTAATAATTGAGTTTACTTCAGACTTAGGATGACAGTTAGCCAAATTTGAAGCTTAGAAGATGAAGTTGAGGTTGTTTTTTTTAAATATATATTTTTAATCTTTGATTTTGACCTGAAAAAAGCAACAAAGAACATCCAAATAGGACCAATCAGACTCTTGCCGATTAACTTTAAGTGCTCTATAAATAAAATGGGATGGTATGGTAACTGTGAGCAATGAAAAAAAGTCAGGTATCCGTCTTAAAGAGTCAGCTTAAATATAATTGTTTTGTATGCTTTATTAAATATTAGGGGTTTGTTTGGATTTTTATACAGAGATAATGAAAATGCCTTTGTTTGTTTGTCTGTTAGCAAAATATCTCCTGAACCGTTGAATGGATTTCAATAAAACTCATAGAAAGTATTCGTTAATTGCATATCTATGATCTATCTATAGTTTTTGGAATTAACCTGAATCAGTATGGCTGCTGTTGCACCTGATATTTAAAAATACAAAAATGGGTGTAAATCAGCCAAATTTACACACATTGAGCTAAAATTTAGCGTGTCAGTAGCTGAGAGAGTGATACTTTTAGTGTGAACAGCTCGTGCTAGATTTGTGTTTAAACCTCTGCCATTAACTATTCGAGTCGTGTCTGTTAGCAAAATATCTCTCAAACCTGTGGGTAGATTTAAATAGAGACAGAGATCTTTATTTGTCATTTGCATCACATGTGGTACATGTAGTGGAACGAAATTATGTACACATGGTCCCAGTTACATCAAACTCGTGACATCCGTGCATTAAAGAAAATAAAAATGGGTGCAAAACTTTAAAAGTACTATTTGGAAACTTTTTTCTTTTTTTTTTTCTAAACTCTTTTAATTCAGCTCTGAAACCCATTTAATGTCAGTGAAACATTTGGAAACGCCCACAGAGAGGTGTGTCAGAACTGACGGTCAGTGTGCACAAGAGGACAGAGAAGATTTGTGACCGTACAATAAACAGCCTGAGCTGAAGAGAGAAGCGTTCCATTAACAAAATAAAACTGTCATGGTGGGACATCGTTTGCCATAAAACTTGGCAAATGTTCCAATCAAGATTTAGAGGAACTAAACTGCTGTAGGTCTGGCCAGTAAAAAAATACCCCACTCTAAGATGACATAAAGCAGGGGTGTCCAATAGAGTTGCATTCTGTCCAAAAAAATCCGACTCGACCCGGCCTCAGCCCGTAGCCATAAATTCCAAACTTCACCCGGCCCGATGAATTAACAGTAATTAACAAGCCTAAACCCGAACCACCACTCCCCCCCGCGCCCCGGACATTTTAAATTAAGCTTTGACTGCTTATATAATAACGGTCGGCGGACGCACGCGGCTGAATAAAAGGGGCACAAGATCAGAGCTGAGGGGGTGTTTGTCCTTTCATGGCTGTCAAAGCGCATTAAATCCCTGTTTCTGCCTGCATTCTGCATTATTCAGACACGGACCATGCTCTGACATGTCAGATATTTTGGGATCTCATCTGCTTGGGTCGTCAGCTGAGTGCAGCTGAATCTTTTTTAAATGACACCTCCACTTTCTAAAGGAAAGAACAAAGATGTCTCATTTGTTTGAATGTCTTTTTTTACTTTAATTGAACTTTTTTATTTTAACCTCTTTAAAGGCCAGTCAGCGCATGGTGAAAATGGCCGTGTGCGGCAGGTGAATGTATGACAAGCCATGTTGCCATATAATTTGGATTGTCAGCCGCGCGCGTCCGCTGACAGCCTGGCCCGCATATTAAGCACATTATTATGACCCGGCCCTAATCCGTGTCGGGCCGGGCTCCAGGTTCGGGTTCGGGTTAGAAATGACAGCTCTAGTGTCCAAACTCTTTCAAATGTGGGTAAAAACTATCCACATGAAAGGATTTGTAGGCCACCTTAACTCTCAACGTGAGCAATATTTTTGGAGAAAGGACAAAAGTTGACTAACTTTGGTGGAGAAAGAGTTTTAAATTGTTGTAGATTCAAAACAACAAAGCCTCATAAACACTAAGCTATATTTACTTATTTTATTAAAAATAATTTAATTTATTTGATTTGTTGTGTCTGTTTGTTGTTTTCTTGTGTTTGGAAAGTTCATTTAGTCTGTTCTCAGCAACAAAAGTTTAATTTGAGTAAGTGTCTTTTTAAAAAGTGGTCAATCAGCCTCCATAAGTCTGATCAAAGTCCTGAAAGATTGTCCGTCAGTCACTACAACAGATTCAAAGAAGGTTTGATAAAGTTGTTCAACTTGTATGTAGATGATACCATGTTATATTCATACAAATATGTTCAATTTCCTTCTTGATTATTTTATCAACTGCAATATTTAGTCAAGTTTTATGAATCATCATCTAAAAGTCTTTTGGTAGGAATCAGTAAAAGTTTTTGGTGTTTTGTACCATGAAGTGAAAATAAAAAGATTATAGCCAAAGGTTTGTATTTTGTTTAATATTGCTCATTTTGAGAGGATTTATTTTCATCTGTTTTGCTGTTAAACCTTAATTTTATATAAAAAAGGATTGCCAACGAAAGTCTGCATCCATCTCTTAAGCCTGCTGGCCAAAATGATACCTTTCTTAAAATGCAGTTGTGGGCCGCACAATATCACTCCGAGGGCCGCAAACGGCCCACGGTCCGCACTTTGGACACCTGTGGCATAAAGGAAGGAGTGTGAGAGGAAATGTTTTAATTTGTGCATTTAGCTGATGAGCTTTTGGAAGTTGCTTAAACCTTAATAAGGATAATAATCTAAATACCCTAAATGTTTATCACGCTTCATAAAGGCACACCTAGATTAAAAATAAAACCACCTCGTGTTTGTCCATCCTATTTGAACAGGATGAGAACGACTTGGACAAATAATGTATCTGTAACGTCAGCCACTTTTCCATCTCGCCTCGTCTCACACTAGTTTTAAAATATTTGTTGAATGTACTTTCATGAAGGCCACAACTATTTTGTGCCTAAACTACAAAAAAATTAGAACTTGCTTTTCGGTGTTGACGTGTTTCACTTCGCACCTTCAGAAACTGGTTCAGGTTGTTGTGGAGTGAGCAATATCTGCAGAAATGCACACAAAGACGGACGATAAGCTCTGGTTACTGACGTCACGTGTCTCTGCTCCACCACCTGCCCGCAGGCGTTGCTGTGGACGGACCCAAGAAGACGAGCGATGATCTCAACAACTCCATCTGCCTGATCAAGAAGAAGGGGAAGGTCAAGGCTCTGGATGAGGAGATTTACCGTAAGTCTATGCACATCTGAGTTCTTGCATTTTTATTATTTTTAATCTATTTGCAGGTTTTAGTCCAACTAAGTATTGTCCAATGCCATAAAAAGTGGTTAACCAAATGTGTCAGTGTGTGTGTTTGGTGATCTGTCTGTTAGCAAAATATTCCATGAACCCCTGAAGAGATTTTAGTAAAACTCTCCGAAAATAATCATTGGATGCACATCTACAACTCTTTGACTTTTAAAGTTTATTTGATTTAATAAATTTGCCGCAGCCGACTGAACACAGAAAACACGTGAATGGCTTTAACTCAAAATATTTTCTAAATACTGAGCTACAGTTTGGTGTGGTTGTAGCTGAGAGTTATCCTCAACATATACTCTCAGCACCAACAAATGGTGAGAGGTCTTTGTTTAAAACGTTGACTTTAACGGATGGAGTCAACCTTGTTTGTCTGTTAGCAACTTCTTATGCTCCTTTCAGCTTTGTTCTGCTAGTTTCAGCCTATTCTGCTATTTCAGCTACTATTTAGCTGTTTTTATGTTAATTTTAGCTTTTTCAGTTATAATTACACATTTTCTGAGCTCATTTCAGCACATTCCGCTTCCTTATGGTAATTTAAGCTTCTTTTTGCCTTTTCATCTACTTTTCAGCAATTTGTTAATTTCAGCCCTTTTTTTTTTTTAGCTAGTTCCTAATTTTGTATTCATTTCTGCTTATTTAAACATAATTCAGCAAATATGTGTTCTTGCTGCGTTTTCAGGCTTGTTCTTTGATTTCAGCTACATTTCAGCATGTTTTTAGCTCATTTCAGCCGTTTCTCAGCAAGTTCTTCAGCAATAAGCATTCACACTGCATTTTTGCAGGAAATGAAACTTCTCTAGTTTTATTTGTTTCAAAGTACCACAGTCTTGGGATTTTGACCTCATCCACAGTTTGTTTAAGAATTCAAAATGCAAAAACACAGTTTGTGTTTCTTAATAAACTTTTTCAAGTTGGCTGTTAATTTTTTTTTTAATTTATTTTGGCTGGTAATACAGTAAAGGGATTGGTGTTTGTGTTTTGCTCGTCCAGAGAAGGACTTGCTGGACCTGGACGAGGAGCTGTGCACTCACTTCGGCCTGGCTCACACCCGCTGGGCCACACACGGCGAACCGAGCGCTCTCAACAGTCATCCCCATCGCTCCGACAAGAATAACGGTAACGTGAGCTTTCAGACTTTAATGCATGGCCACGATCGCGCAAAAATAATTTATTTAACACCCATCAAAACTCATCATAAAACGCTCTGCAACATTTTCGAAGAATGTGATTCAAACGTGTCAGCTACGCAGTTAAAACGTTCTTTTTTTGTTGCATTTATGGTGAAATACTGCAAGATGGGATTGGCAGAATTACACAGAACAAATGAAATATAAAATAGTATGGCATGGTATAAAAAGCACAGCAGAAAGCTGTTATTTGAGTTGAATTACTTGCATTTAATATAGATTTTACTTTACATTTTACTAAAACTTTGTACTTTATTGGTCAATTAGTGTAAATGTAGTCACAATTCAAAAGCACAATTTGTGTTTCTTAATCAACGCTCTCAAGTCGTCGACAAAAATTTTATTGTAGTAAAAAGAGCAGTAAATATAGAAAATAATAATAGCATAATAATAATATAATACAGTAGTATTACCTCGTTTATCACAGGGTTTAGGGGACCGTCTTCCCCCCGCGATACGTGAAAAACTGTGAATTAGGGATACAGTAGTCCAAATTCAAGATTCACTCCCAAGCTTCCTTTTTCTGTGTAAATTAACAATTTAAATTTTAAATTTAGGAGGAGAAATGTGGGCATGGCACAGAGCCGCAGGTGGCAGAGAGCGGAGATCATGACAGGCTGCAGAGGGAGCTTCTCCCTGCACCTGTGGGCTGCACACATGTGCTAAATCATTTTAAATATTTTATTTTAAATAAACAATCCATGCCGCTCGTGTGACTCATCCATCAATCAGCCAGTTGTGTATCATGTCCACTCTTACTTTGAAAAACCATGAAAGTTGAACTGTGAAGTAGCGAGGGACTACCGTATACTGTACTATACTATGCTATACTAACACTATACAAATAATTAATCCTAATAATACTAATAATATACTACTACTAATAGTATTAATAACAATAGTATAATTATATACTATACTATACTAATACAATAATAATAATAATAATATTAATAATAATAATAATAATACTATAATATAATAATACTATACTATACTAGTACTAATACTAATAATATACTATATTATAATATTAATACTATTCTAATACTATAATATACTATACTATAGTAATACTAATAATACTACAGTAATACTAATACTATAATAATAATATTAATAATAATAGTAGTAAATATATCAGTAAAACTTATTATAAAATAGTATTGTATGACACTGTATGGTATAAAATCCACAGCAGCAATTTGCTATTTGTGTTTACTTACATTTAATATTGTTTGTTTTATTGTATGTTTTATTAAAACTTTATATTTTATTTTGCAATTACTGTATTGTCATTTCAGCAATCACAAAAGTGAAAGTAATATACTGTTTTTTGATTTGTGGTAATTAACTGTTTAGGTTAAAATGATTTATACTTTTACTCGTATACTATCCTAATTTCTACAGACATTTTTAACAAGTTCATCAAACTCTGACTGTTTTCTTTGTTTGAGTCTGTTCATTGGCAGCCTTCAATAAAACATTTTTTTAAATTTAGTATTAAAATAAAAATATACAATGTGTCAAACATCGATTTAACATGCACACATTGTTCGAAGCACATCCATCTTGGATGCATTTTACTGTACTTTATACAAACCAGATTCCAAAAAAGTTGGGACACAAAACAAATTGTGAATAAAAACTGAATGCAATGATGTGGAGGTGCCAACATCTAATATTTTATTCAGAATAGAACACAAATCACAGATCAAAAGTTTAAACTGAGAGAATGTATCATTTTAAGGGAAAAAGTCTGTTGTTTCCAAATTTCTTGGCGTCAACAAATCCCAAAAAAGTTGGGACAAGTCCATTTTTACCACCGTGTGGCATCCCCCCTTCTTCTTACAACACTCAACAGACGTCTGGGGACAGAGGAGACCAGTTTCTCAAGTTTAGAAATAGGAATGCTCTCCCATTCATGTCTAATACAGGCCTCTAACTGTTCAATCGTCTTGGGCCTTCTTTATCGCACCTTCCTCTTTATGATGTGCCAAATGTTCTCTATAGGTGAAAGATCTGGACTGCAGGCTGGCCATTTCAGTACCCGGATCCTTCTCCTACGTAGCCATGTTGTTGTGATTGCTGCAGAATGTGGTCTGGCATTATCGTGTTGAAAAATGCAGGGTCTTCCCTGAAAGAGAGGACGTCTAGATGGGAGCATATGTTGTTCTAGAACCTGAACATAGTTCTCTGCATTAATGGTGCCTTTCCAGACATGCAAGCTGCCCATGCCACAAGCACTCATGCAACCCCATACCATCAGTGATGCAGGCTTCTGAACGGAGCGTTGATAACAACTTGGGCTATCCTTGTCCTCTCTGGTCCGGATGACATTGCGTCCCAGTATTCCATAAAGAACTTCAAATCGTGACTCATCTGACCACAGAACAGTCTTCCATTTTGCCACACTCCATTTTAAATGACCCCTGGCCCAGTGCAAACGTCTGAGCTTGTGGAGCTTGCTTAGAAATGGCTTCCTCTTTGCACTGTAGAGTTTCAGCTGGCAACGGCGGATGGCACGGTGGATTGTGTTTACTGACAATGCTTTGTGGAAGTATTCCTGAGCCCATTCTGTTATTTCCTTGACAGTGGCATTCCTGTTTGAGGTGCAGTGACGTTTAAGGGCCCGGGGATCACGAACATCCAGTAGATCACGAACATCCAGTAGAGTTTTACGGCCTTGACCTTTACGCACAGCGATTGTTCCAGATTCTCTGAATCTTTTGATGATGTTATGCACAGTTGATGATGATATCTTAAATGTCTTTGCTATTTTACGCTGGGTAACACCATTCTGGTATTGCTGCACTATCTTTCTGTGCAACAATGGTGGAATTGGTGATCCTCTTACCATCTTGGCTTCTGAGAGACACTGACACTCTGAGAAGCTCTTTTTATACCCAATCATGTTGTCAATTGACCTAATTAGTGTTAATGGTCTTCCAGCTGTTAGTTAAATGCTCAATTTCCTTTTTCCAGCCACTTATTGCTACTTGTCCCAACTTTTTGGGGATTTGTTGACACTGTGAAATTTTGAATCAACATATTTTTCCTTTAAAATGTTACATTTCCTCAGAGTAAACTTTTGATCTGTCATCTGTTATATTACGAATAAAATATTGACATTTGCCATCTCCACATCATTGCATTCAGTTTTTATTCACAATTTGTCCCAACTTTTTTGGAATCCGGTTTGTACGTTCTTTGTTTAAAACAGGTCTTTCTTGTAAATGAGTCCTGGTGACTCAGTGAGACTAACCTGTATAAATTAAGGTTGAATGAACGGATCTTTATAATATGTATACAGGTGTGTCAGATGTGTGGCTTAGCTTTAAACCAGCTTATGTGTGACAATAAAAATATAAAATAGATTGATGATGCAGACTGTTGGCTGTGACTTTACTGTGTTATTTCTCTGCTTGGAGGTGAAATCTGGTCGGTATTATTCCTCAGTCAGCCTGTTGAACTTGTTTCACTGCACGCTGAACGTGGCATCGTGCTTTATTTATAGTTTGAATTGTTTCCAATGCAAGCAGAGCCCAAACTGACTTTTCCTGAACTGTTTCGTGCTTTCCTCAGAGTTTGTCGTCATCCACAACGGCATCATAACCAACTACAAAGAGCTGAAGAAGTACCTGGTGAGTCGAGCAGAAAATATTGAAACGCTGAGTGACGTTTAGTTGCTAATGGCAACATGTGTTGTACTAGAATCCTGCACATAAAGCAGGAATCAAGAAAGAACACTCTTTAGCCGAGTTGTTGAAGAGTGACGTTATCTCTGTTGCAAAGCGGAGCTTCATGTGTGAGATAATGAATCCAGCATTATTATTAAAGACGATATTTAAACACACAGAGACAAAAGGAATGAAACCCTCAGGTTGTAGGAAGTGGTTTTGAAACAGGCACAGAGGTTAAAGTTCAGATCTTTTGAAGTAGGGTTCTGTGACAAGATAATGAACCGGTGGAAACTTGATAATCATTTACATACTTGGTGTTCAGTTCAACCTTTATTTATACTGGTTAGTCTCATTGAGCCTCGAGGACTCATTTACAAGAGAGACCTGTTTTAACAAAGAACATAATTACCACAGTAGACAATCATGAAACGGCATATAAAATGACAAGTAAATGGAAAAAAACGTATTAAAAGACGAAACAAAAACGGCTACATTATAAAACGATTATAAAATACTCAAAACAGGAACATGTCTGCGTTGGTTTTTGCCATGAACTTAGCAGTTGTTTAAAGTCTCTTTAGAGAGGTCAAGGTCGAGAGCTTCAGATCTTTTTGCAAGATATTCCAGGAAACAGGAGCGGAGTAGGAGAAGACCCTTTTGCCTTCAGTCCTCACTGAGGGAACACTGCAGGTAATAATGTTCTGATACCGCACGCTGTAGCTGCACTCACGCAGAGACATGTAGGAGGAGATGTATGAAGGCAGCAGACCAAGAAGTGATTTAAAGATGAAAATGTACCAGTGAGAGAGTCTGCGTGAAGTTAATGATGACCAGTTAACCAGTGAATACAGGGTGCAGTGGTGGGTACGATAATCACAGCCAGTTATGAATCTTAGTGCACCATGATAGACAGCATCCAACATCTGCAGGGTGCTTGTAGGAGCGTTCATGTAATGATGTCACCGTAATGGGAGTGAAGAAAGGTCACAGTTACAAGGTGTTTCCTAGAGTTCGGAGTTAAACAGGAGCAATTTCTGAAAAATAAACCCAGTTTTAATTTCAATTTCTTTACCAAGTTTTCAACATGAGGCTTAAAAGAGAGATGCAAATCAACCAAGATATACAAGTATTTGTAGGAAGTGACAAACTCAATAGGACCATAATTCAAAGATAAAATAGAAGGAAGAACTGCTGGGACCGACTTAGCACCAGTTTGAGATGGAACAAATCTGACTGGATGATGTTGAACGCAGACTGTAAGAGCTGACAAACCTCAGCAATTGTTCTATCTCGACAATAAACAACTGTGTCATCAGCATAGAAATGTAATGATGCATCAGGGATGATCTGGCCTACATTACCTAGGTAGATTGTGAAGAGGGTGGGTCCTACATGGTGTGTACCTGTGATGTAGCCATGGGGACTGGGCTGTATTATGTACCAAGTACATAAAAGCTAACAAGTCCCTTCATTATACAACCTGCCAGATAAGTTTTAGGTACAAACCCAGTACGTATCACTTATACAGTACATATTCAGTGTGCAACGGTACATAAAGGGATGTCATTTGAGCACCCAGAACAAGTTGATTACTGTATTGCCTTTTAAAAACAACTAAATTTTTAATAATTCATAGCCATTAAAAAAATCCCAACAGTGTAGACGGATTTACATTACCTGGTAGTTCCAGCAGAAATATCTCGTTGAGAAGTGCTACAGTTAGCTGCTGCTGCTATTTGTCCTTTCAAATAACCATAGATTTCTGAGTGTATCACCCTGGAATCCGATGCAGGGTAGTAAGATTTTAAAATACGATAGTGTGCATGTGAACTGCTTAAAAAAGATCATCTTTTTCTTTAAAGAATTGAGTGGTTTTAAGATCCCCTTTAGCCTTGGCCCTGCCTGGAGCAGCTGTGTGCTCATCAATCAGGTCAGATTTAAACTCTGTCCAAAATGAGTTTGCTCAACGAGTTAGATTAAAAAAAAAAGTTTGTTTTATTTTCCTGGAACACCACTTGTTGTGTTATCGTACTTTTTCTCACAAGCTGTGTTTTGGATCTCCCTCAGGCCACCAAAGGATACGAGTTTGAGTCAGACACGGACACAGAAGTGATCCCAAAACTGATCAAATACGTTTATGACAATCGAGAAGATGACGGTGTCACCTTCTCCACGCTGGTGGAAAGGGTCATCAAACAACTGGTAAGTTCGTCCAAACTAACGCACTATAGAAACCTCGATTTAAAGCAACACCATATTATTTCTGTTTATGACCAGTAGCCGGTTTTTCCCTTCAGCTTGAGTGATGGAAAATTCTGAGCTACTTCCTGTTGAGTGTCATAAATGTTGGCCTTGACTGTTTAAATGCAATTACTCATTTAATCCTGCATGAAATGGCATTAATTTCCTGCGCTATAAAAAAAATAATAATCTTGTTGTCAAAAACAGTCGTCATAGCAACTACAAGTGACATTATCAGTCACAGTATCACATTTGTTGTGTGGACGCTTCTGAAGCATTCACACTATTGTGATCCATTTTTCTTCCGTACATTTTTCGGCATCTTTCTCGTTACACAATTTTTGTCATTTTCAACAAATCATATATCAAAACTTTCAGCTCTTTCAGGACAATCCTGCTTTTGACTTTTGATATCGGTGCAACTTTAGCTTGTTGAAATGTTTAGCCTTTTCTGCCGTTTCTTTCTCATAGAAAATGAATTGGGCTCATTTTACATCCTTCAAATCTTTAGATCTTTTTACAACCTTTTACTGCTCCTTTCACATTTTGTTTCAGTTTAGCTCCTTTCAGCTTCCTTGTGCAAATTTAAAAACAAATTCAGCTACTTTCAGCTAATTTTAGCTGTTTTGTGCGCCTTTCTGCTTTATTCTGCTAACTACATTTTTGTGCTTCTAAATTCTTTCTGCTAATTTTGGCTTGTTATGCTCCTTTTAGCTTATTTCTTCAAGTTTAATCTATTTCTGCTATTCAAGCTACTATTTAGCTGTTTTGTGCTAATTTTGGCTTTTTCAGCTAATTCCACATTGTTTTTCACTCATTTAAATTTCAGCCTAATTCAGCAAAAATGTGCTCTTCTTTTGGGTTATTCAAGCGTCTTTCTGCTTTTTAAAGCTACTATTCAGCTGTTATTTGCAAATTTCTGTTTGTTTTTTCAGATAATTTCCCCTTTTTGTGCTCATTTTTACTTCTTTCAGCCAAATTTCACAAAATTGTGCTCTCTCCACTTCCTTCTGCTAATTTAAGCTTGTTCAAACTTTTAAGCTGTTTTTAGCATTTTTAGCTGTTTTCAAATTAATTCAAGTTTTTTGTGGTAATTTCTGCTGCTTTCAGACTAAGTAACGTCTTTCTGATAATTTCAGCATGTTAGGCTCCTTTCAGCTTAATTATGCTAGTTTCAGCTGTTTCGGTTACTATTCAGCTGATTTATGCTAATTTTAGCTATTGCAGCTAATTCCACATTTTTTAGCTCATCTCTTTTCACGTCCTAGTAGTTTAAGTTTCTTTCCGCCTTTCAGCTACTTTTCAGAATTTTTGGGGGTTAATTTCAGCTTCTTTAGCTACTTCCCTAATTTTTTTTGCTCATTTCTGAATATTAACCAGTTTCAGCAAATACGTGCTCTTTCTGTTTTCTTCTGCTAATTTAGGCTTTTTCTTCCATTTCAGCTACATTTCAGCATGTTTTGAGCTATTTTCAGGTGTTTCTCAGCAAGTTCTTCTGCAACAAGCATTCACACAGCATTTTCTCAGGAAATGTTATTTGTCTAGTTTATGTTTCATTCTCTCTGTTCAGATTGTCCAGCCTTACACCACTGACACCCTTCTTTTCTTATGCTCTGTGCCCCCCCCCCCCACACACACACACACACTTTTCTTTTTGTTTTCCTTCCTAAAACCACACTCCCAGCCAGCCAGCTCTACTTCCAGTAAACGCCACAAGCACCATAGCCAATGCTTTCGAAACTTAGCCGATCTTATGCAAAGAACCTCGTGTCTTTTTCTAACTTGCGTTCCCTTCAGACCTTCTCTTTGGTCCCTGAGACTCACAAACCCACAACTTTTGACTCCCCCCCGCCTCCATCCACCCACTGTGGCAAAAACATCATATATTCATGTGCGTGTTTTAAAGTCGTGCACTTTTTCAGAGAACGTAACTGCTTCTCTTCGCCTGTTTTGCCCATCCCATTTATTTATTTTAACAGTTTCCATGAAGCCAACATAAACCTTCTGTTTCTCTTCTGTGTAAAGGAGGGGGCCTTCGCGCTGGTCTTTAAAAGCCGTCACTACCCCGGAGAGGCCGTGTCTACCAGGTTCGTATAAGCTCACGCTGACACATCCACACTCTCAGAGATTTCACTTCTAAGGTTTGTCCATCAGCCGGGTGAGCTGCAGATGACTCACCCCCGTTATTACCCCATGAAGCAATAGATTTTAGGAGACTCCTTGTTTCTGTCTCGTGGCTTATCTCAGCTTACGCGCTCGAAACGCAACATGAGTCCACAATAAGCAGCTGTGCTGTTTTTCATTTGCTCCAGAGAGTTAATTCCCATCTTGTAGCGTTTTCTGAATCTTAAGTCCCGAGGTTGAATTCAGTCCCCTTCTTCTGTTTCTTCTCCCTCCTGGGCCCCCCCTTGCTCCTGGGCTGTGGGCCCATTCCTCCTTTTCTGGGACTCATTAACAGAGAAATGAGTTTCCTGTTTCAGCTTGGGGGGGGGGGGGGGGGGGGGGGGCATGCACCCTTGGCCACATAAAAGTCCAGGTTAATTACTTCTTATCTTTTTTTTATTTTATGGTGTATCCTGGTTCAATGGATGGACACGTCAGGGCAAAGGGAGATTTCGAGTGAGCTAATAAGAGAAGCCACAGCGAAATCAGCAAAGCAACATAGGTGTGTGCTGTAACTTGTGGCTGTATGCAAACAGCTCACCTGATGTGGAGGACACTTCTCCGTACGTCTGAGCTTTGCTGCCAACAGTTTCTCAAGATAATGATCCCTGACACGGACTGAATGAATGCACTGCAGCTCAAGCAAGCAGAAGTTTGTCCAATAGAGCAAGGTAGAATATTTAATAACCAACGCCCATCTGTTGTTATCAAAGGTCAACACCGCCAGCAGTCTTCATTTCAGCTCGTTTCCTTCAGCCAATTTTAAATGCCTTGCCCAGCCGAGTTTTTCTTTTAGTTATCCAACGTAAGTTTTTCAAAGAAGAGCATACTTGCCTGCTTGGTCATCCTTTGACTTAGAAGCCGTTCGTCTTCATTCCATTCTTTTTTTTTTTTTTTTTTAACAGCGTTGTTGTATTGAATTGTGAACACATGTTTTCTTTTTTTTAAATTATTTGTGAGCTTCTTTTGTTAAGTTCCACACCCCTGAAACAATCAAAGGCTTTGCGTCAATGCGGCTCCACAGAGGAAAAAAAAAAACGCTGCACAGAAAGTAAAGAGGGATCAACCCGAGAAAGACACAAACAAAGGAGAGGTTCACATATTTCAAGATCTGGCGTCAAACCCATCTGCAACCGTGAGGGTTTACTGAAAGGTTTATGAACTATTAATCTATTAATGTTGTTTGAATGAGCCTAGTTTGACAAACAGGGTTTAAAATCGGGTCCAGTTAAGAAGCTTGTGTCTAGTCTGAGTCCAAGATCACAACAGACCAGAGCTACTCGACTAAACTGCTCAGGGGGCCACAGTTACTGAAATCCAAGAGCTCAGGGGCCGGACATCCAGCAGTTATTGTGATTAAATAAGTTTGTTTTATGGATTAAAATCTAGTTTTATTTAAAAATAAACCCATTGGTGGACCGAACTGAGTTCACCCGTGGTCCTGATTTGGCCCCCGGCCCTCCAGTTGAATAGCCCTGCTTTAGACTGCTGCTGCCGTAAACATCTAAAATATAAAACACTGTTTCCAGCTTCTACGTTGTGTTAATTTTAGGATATTCCTGCTGGAAGTGTCATAAAAGCTACAGCTGCAACGTTAGCTGCTATAAATGCTAACTGTGCTTGCAAAAAAAAAAAAAAACGTGGAATCAAATCTGTGTAATGTGACATTAATGAAGATAGCCTTTGCATCATGCTATAAGAATTTTTTTAGATTAAAGTTTAAAAGGGCAGTAATTCTCTTAGATCTTGGTCCAGCTGTGACAAGCGCTTCACTTTTTATACAAACTCGTGAGCAGGTAAGATCGCCTTTGTTCATGCATGGCACACTTTTTAAAATACCTGAACTATCCCTTTAAGGTGACGAGGAAGGGAATGAACAGTAAAAGCGTGAGAAAGTTTTGTTTAATTTAGGAAAGACACAACAGGATTGGATGTTGGGATATTTAGCTCCGTGTGTGATTGTATCTGACACTGAAGAGTGTGTGGACGCCCTAATCGTCCTCCTGCTAACCCAAACCACCTTCTCTGTTGTTACTAAACCCAACTCGCCCCCCCCCCCCCCCCCCCCCGCCTGCTCCTTCTTGTCTCGGCAGGAGAGGAAGTCCGCTGCTCATTGGCGTGCGAAGCGAGCACGAGCTGCCCACTGAGCACATCCCCGTCCAGTACAACAATGGTGAGCTTTATCCATCCCTCGTTGTGCCCTCATCCACATTCACTGCAGCTTAAACCTTTGCTTCAAGTCTAAAGTGTGGGGGAATATACGTTGGTATTGTTGTCTGATAGAATGTGATCGTACTGTTTCTGGATAACATCTGCTTCCTAAACATCAGAACTCTCTGTCCTTTGCTGTTTATTCTGCAACAAGTCTTTTTTTTTTTTTTTTTTTTTTTTACTGAACTTTTCCAAGAAGTAGATTTTATAACCAGGGGAGATCTGCATGAAGTCTGATAAGAAAAAAAAAAAAGCAAATATATTTGCTGATAAAAATAAAAAATCACATTTTCTAAAAAAGAAACGGGAGAAACCGATATTTTTTTGTGTGCATTTCTTTATTCCACTTGTCAAAATACATCAAATCCTCTTTATTCCTTCTTTGCTTCTGTTGTTTCAGATTTGTTTATTGTCAGATCAGCAGAAGCTCTGAATATTAACCATGCAGGTGAAGCTAGGTGGAAAATTTGACTGTGGAGTCCCATTTATCTGACAAAAAGTACTTTAAACTTTTTAAACTGATCTTATTTTAAATCAGAGATAAGTAAATGATATAATGACAATTCTGCCAAGGCTATTTCAAGTGTCTGGTTTGTTGTTATGGACTTACAGGAGCATTATTCTCTATGCTGGTCTTTGGAGGACATACAGTTGTGATGACAGCTCCAGTCAAATGTCTGGACACACCTTCTCATTCAAATGAAAAGGTGTCCAGTTGACCGGGACTGGGAACAAGCTGCCGTTCACTAATACAAACCAATGGAAATCTGTGACGTTAAACTGAGACGTATCTGAGTTCCAGTAGTTTCCCTAAATAATGTGCTCATGTCGTTTAAAAAGGTGACACAAAAACGGACTTTGGGTGTGAACTAACGTTAGTGTTTTATTTTTGATGATCCATTTGTTTTTAAGAAAGTAAAGACAGTTTTGTGAGCAGTCAAGTTTTTGTGGCTCTGTTTTTATAAATACTTCAAAATCACGACTCAAAGAAAGGAAGTACAGTGGTCCCTCGTTTATCGCAGGGGTTACGTTCCGGACCACCCGCAATAAGTGAAAAGAACCACAAAGTAGTAATACTATATTTATTTTAGTATTTATATATTTTAAAGCTTTATAAACCCTCCCCACACTCTTACAATGTTCTAAACTTTTAAACCCACATCATTTTAACAACATACGTATGTTATTGTACAGTACTGTAAAATTTTATATGGGGACTCACCAGCCTTGGTCCAGTTCTGGTCCAGTTCTGATCGGCTCTCTGCATCCACTGAGCGCCAAAGTCACTATAAATAAGGACCGAACTTTTTAGTCCGGTTCGGATTGAATCAAAACTGCCCCTCCATTTCGGTAAAAAGCAGCAGCTGGATGCTCTGTTGGCTTCTGGATAATGTAGTTCTTTTGGACTGGCCTTACAGTGTAGGTTTATTGAGAGAAAACTACAAAATGGCGGCACCTGTCCGAAGTATTTTGTTTTTAACATTTTACTGTATCCCGTACCGTCCCAATCACGTGAGTTAACATTAAAGTTGACAATCGTGTCGTGTACAAGCTTTATTTTTCAAATTATTTTTGTGTCATGTACAATCTTACTTTGAAAAACCGCGAAAGAGCGAGTCCGCAAAAGTCGAACTGTGAAGTAACGACGGACTAATGTGTATTTTTTGCTGCTCACGAAATTTCAGATTCAGACAACTTTATTTATCCCCATATTCAGTTTGGCAGTTTAAAGATTTCCACGCATACGCACATACATATGCTCATATACCTGAAAGCACAACAAACAAACAAAACAAAATAAAAGTATTACAGA